GTAACATCTTTATGCTTAAATTTGAAATTCTTTTGATGATACAACATCTTTGTCTATATGTACAGGTCAATTTTGCACCTTCTGTTTATGAAAATACTTTGTAAACTGAAAATACTTGACCAGTGGTTTGTAGTACCCATGGATACCTACCACTTGGAGCTATGCCTAAGGACAAATGCCTTTTCTGTCTACTCAGGTGGTATGACCACGTGATAAGCACAGTCGAGCTCGGTTTCACGTATAGGTCTCTGTTGAAAACAAGGACTCTGCTCTGGCTTCTTTACTTGCCATTTCCACACCATTGACTCAGTTGTCTTATAGAAATATGTGCTTTTTCACCCTCAGCAAACAGGTGCACAACATAGCATATTCTGGGTTATAAACAGAACTGTCATTTCTCACACCTAGATGTATTCCTCCTTGCCTAGTCATTTATTATTGGAGATATTATAAAATAAAGATGGTTCACATACTCATCTGTCTCTTGGAACTCGGGATTTGTGCCTGGACCAACTAGGATGTAGGCCATTGTTCAATTAATCCTTAATATTTTCATACTATGGATGCTTAGGAATCTAGTATGACCTTTTTTTTTTTTTAAAATCTGCACAGGAAAATACCAGTGCAACTCCTAATTTCAATGCTTAGCAGCTGTGTGAATTTGGGCCAGTTATTTATCCTTTCTGATGCTCAGTTTTCTCATTTATGCAACAGAGCTAATCTGATCTCTTGAGGGATATTGTGAGGGGAAAAAAATGAGTGTGCCAATTTTTACTGTCAAAGTCACTTTCAGATACAAGAGAAAACATATTCAACATTCAAGGTAAAATTAGTGATTTTGCAGACAATCTAAAAACTGTTACATTTATCACTACTATATCTTTCTTCTAGTCACAAGAGTGGATTATTGAGTGTGCCTGCCATTTAACATTAATACTTTAACCCAGGTGATGTCAATGGAATTGTCTGAACAATGGTCATTGAATCTCTGCCAGGCTTGTTTCACCACCACCAAACCTGGAACATCTGTGACCTAGAATGACATGGCTTTCCTTGTCAGCCTCCTAAAGGACATACACTTGATTTGTCACTTAAGTTGTTTACTAATCAGTGTATAATATCCTGACCAAGTTAAAAAACAAATTTTTGAGATGTGGGATTTATGATGAAGGCTTGAATGTAACCTAGTAAACTTTAGGCATTGTGTTGGTTGACTTCTTACTGGTCTGCAATAATTTAAGTGTCTCTGTTATATATGTAGAGATAAGTATTGATTTGGGTGAAGAGAAGGGCGATATACCAAATGTGAGTGATCAATATGGTGACATTGAGGAAGAAGAAGACATAGAAAGGTACATGGGAGGTGCAGACAACAAAGATGAACCTTTTGTACATAAAATACTGCATTGTCAGTGAAGGCAAACATGGGTATATGGATGGATAGATGGGTAGACAGGCTGAACTATTAGGTATGTCTATGAAGCAGGGAGTGTACCCAAGACCATGTATAGGGTTGGCAGACAATGGTCCTATAAGTGTATTGTATGATCTGTAAGAATTCCCAGGTGTATAGTAGAGCTGACAAGGAACAAGATTGTAGTCACTTCTTGGTCACAGCCAGCTACCCAGATGGACCCAGTAGGTGAACCTGTGGGCTTGGGACCATAGTCACAGGGGACATCAAGCTCAATTGACATAACATACTACACAAAACATTGTTCCACCTCCTACTTTGGTGAGTAGTGACTAGAATCTTAAAAGCTTGCAAGCAGCCATCTAGATGTAACGATGGGTCTCTCCTTGTCCAGAGGAAGGAAGAATGAAGAAAACCAAAGATTCATGGAAACAGAATGAAGAAAACCAAAGATTCATGGAAACAATTAGTCCTAGCAACTGGTACACCATGCGATCTGCAGCCTATACAACTCTGAGACCAGAAGAACTAGATGGTGCCCGGCTACCACTGTCAACCACTTGGAGGAGGGTTTCTGTAGGAGATCCTGGATAGTGAGGGAGAACATTGTGGAACAAAACTCAAAATCATTTGGAAAAAAAAAAGGGGGAGGCCAGGTTTGCAGGTCTGATAGAGCCTGGTGGAACCACTGAAACTATAGCCCCTAGCTGCCCTTTAGGTCTGGAATTGAACCCACACCTGTGGCTTCCAGCCAAACAAAAGACAGGCATATGAGTTGAACATTTACCTGAGGTAGATACACTCCTTGGAGAGAACAATCATGGAGAAAGAGGGGCTGTTTATGCACAGGGAGATAGCTCAGGGGGCAGGAGTCCATGGAGGGATGGACACAGTGAAGAGGTACCTATTGGGAGGAAGTGGGAGGGGAGCTGTTGTAGTGGGGTAAATTGTAGTCAATGTCATGAGACAAAGTATATGTGAACTGCTGTATGGAAAGGGAATTTGCTCTGTAAATTTTCACCCAAATCACAATTTAAAAAAAAGAAATTGTAAGATTATACTCATAAAATCTCCTGCAGCCAAAATACACAGAGTTCTTATCAGTCTACTGGCAATTGACATTACTGTAAGAAACTTAAAAAAAATAAAATCTTAGAAATACATGTGTTTTTTGTTTTTTAAAAATAATTTAAATGTCTTAGACTGACATTTATTAAGTTCCTATTGTGTGCCATAGTCTGTGAGGATATAAGGGAGATGTAATCTAGTATTTCATCAGGGGATTTAGAATAGTTGCTGTTGTAAGCTTAAACAGAAAAGTCTTAAACACAGAAGACTACAGCTAGAAGTCTCCAAAGCTATTGCTGATTCAGAAGTTGCCAAGAGGACTAAGTCTAGCATCACCTTTTAAGTGTCCCTGGTCTTTGGTCATGAGTATATGATAAAAATGAGGTTAATGTTGAGACTGTTAGGCTCACCACCAGATTTCACCATTTTATCAAATGGTGATCACTCTTTGTCTCCTTATTCTTCTATTTTCAAAGCATTCTTTCTTTGTGGAGACCAAGGCCTCATAGAGTGCTTCAGTGGATTGAGACTTAATACATCTAAAGAGTCTAGGAGAGAGTTCCAAACATATAATAAGGACCCAGTAAATGTTAACTGCTCCAATTACTATTTTGCTCAATTACTATTTTATTATTATCTTTATTATTATCATCATCATTATCATCAAAGATTTGGCAGGTTAAAAGCATTTTGAAAAAAAACATTTATATAACAAACAGAATATTGAATATAAAATCTGTAAGACCACAGAAGTCCCACCAACATCCTTTTGCCATTTCTGGCTTCATTAATAACAGGAATTCAAACTACCAGCCAACTCTCAGTTAAAGGGGCTGCACCCATCTTGCATTTTGCAAATCTTGGTCATATTTGAGGATCTTGGATCTCAAAGTCACTAGCACAAGTTTCCAGAGTACAACAAGAATTTGCTGATTACCTGAAGCCAGGTAGAAGTACAAAGGCCAATGGCATATATTTTTCTTCAAACATGCAAAGCTAATTCTGAGAAGCTAGAGTTTAAAGCTGAAGAATTAACCCAAAAGTGTTACCTAGAGCCTGCAACCATAGTGATCAAGAGGGGGCAGTTAGGGCAGTTACTTTGACAGCTGGAATTTCTATTATTAAGCTACATCAACTCAGATCCATCTACTCTCTCATTCTGCTTGGTCAGCCCTCTGGATTTCATTTTTTCTTCCTCTCCTCCTTTGCTTGCCTTCTTTCTTTTTAAGTCCCTTTCCCTCCCACCCCCCACACTTACTGTTAAGCTCCTAGTATGTGCTAGACACTATTCTAAGCATAGGGAGTGGGTTTCTGAATCAAACAAAATCTCAAATCTCAAGAACCTTATATTCTAGTAGAAGATAAAGCAAGTTAAATGTATAATAGAATGTCAAGAAGTAATCATGACCTTCATCAATGTTTGAGTTATCTTCTTCAGAAGAACAACGAACTCTAGAAAGGGGCCCAATCCCAGGGAATTGGCTTTCTCTACTGATGTCTGTAGTCTGCAAAGTTTGGACTTCTTAGTAGCCTTGATCATAGAGTGTATTGTACTTGTTTAAATTAGAGGGCATGATTTCCCAATGGTGACTGTGATCTTTAGGTCAGAAGGGAGCATACAGGTTCTAGGACACCCTCCTTTTTCTATATGTTGCCAATTCAGCAAGATCTCTATGAGGCAGAAGCTCTGGTGGCATAATGGTTAAAGCATTCAGCTGCTAACCAAAGAGTTTGACGGTTGAATCCACCAGCCACTCTGTGGGAGAAAGATGAGACAGTCTGCTTCCGTAAAGGTTTACAGCCTTGGAAAAACTATGGGCAGTTCTATTCTCTCCTTTAGGATGCTTGTTTTGTTTCTCTAATGATGCTATAACAGACATATCACAGATGGATTGCTGTAACAAATAAGGATTTATTTTCTTACAGTTGAAGAGGCTGGAAGTCCGAGTTCAAAGTGCCAGCTCTAGAGGTTGGGTAAAGTCCCCTCAACCTTGGGCTTCAGCTCTGCCTCTTGCTCTTGGCCCACTGGAGCTGAAGGTATCTCTTAATTCAAGCTGCTGCTAGCTGCTGAGGCTGACAAACCCAAGGTTGACAAATAAAGTGGCACAGTCCCAAGATTATCAAGCAAAACAGCAGGCTACTAGTTCAAGTCCAAAAATTATCCCAATATCAGCAAGCAACATGGCAGGCTACTGAATGAAGACTCAGCTAAATGTAGCATCCAAGCATGCCAAAAAACTAGAGACTTTTCTCAAAGCTTCTCCTTATATACTGGAAGCTGACATATCCCCAAGGCAGCTACTCAGCTGCTCACTGAAGATTCCACCATGGAGTTGATTACCAGTCTCATTGCAAGAAAATGTGACATCCAGCTGCCCAGACACTCAAAACCAGGCCCAGCCAAGTTGACACACAACCTAATTACCACAGTTGCAATGAGTTGGAATAGCTTCAAAGACAATTGGTTTGTTTTTTAGTTTCTATGAGTCATTACCAGCCCTTCTTTCTTACCTCATAGGCTAATGATAAGAAGCTATGTACACTATATGAAGAGTACTTGAATGAAGCAAATGCAAAACTGGATAAAGTAACTCAGTTGGCAAATGAGAAAGTGAGAATGGTAAATAAATATCTGGCTTCATTAGTGAACCCCGATCCTATCCAACTGACGGAAGGAAGGCTGAGATGATGAACTAAACATAGAGCTCAAGTTGGCATTTAAAGATTCTAGAAGAGGAAGCAGTCTCTGAGATATGTTGCAAAAGACTTCTTTAAAGTGTTAAAAAGCAAATATGCAGCTCCGAATTTCATCTCTTGTGCCATTTCAGGTACAGTCTCTGTGTGGATTCCACAGTCCAGAAACAAAGCCGGAGAATGTCTATATGTTGGCCCTGAAGGAAGTGCAACAGAAAAAAATTGTTTTGATAGGCATTGCCTTCCTCCCCCTAGTTACTGGCATTAATTTTCTACTCACTTTTTTGATGAGGAAATTGGTAGGTAAGTGAGGGGAATGAAAGTGGGTCTGTAATGATAATTCTGCTTAGGATATAGGACCTTTTTCTTCCTCCCTTTAATTCTCGTTCATACCATTTAACTTATAGAGAGACTAAAATTTAACTACATACCTGTCCAAGCTCCCTTTTCTCTCATTGGGTCTATGCTCCAGATTTAACTTCATTTTTTCCTGCTAACACCAATGTTTCTTTCTCACACTTTGTGCTATCAACTTATCATACTTTGCTTTCAAAGTTAATATGATCCATGAAACCACATTGAGTTTTGGTTCTGCAATATATGTGGTATATTAGCTTCAAATCCCTAATAAATTTGCAATTCTTCAGAATCTTTTTAAATATTAGATTTTCAGAGATTCTTAAGATGTGATCCACAGACTTGGCATTCCTTCTAATGTTAAGATGTTGCTTGCTTTCTTTATTCTGTTGTTATTTATATTGATGGTTCAAAAGCAATACCAATTCAAACTGGTTGGTGTCCTGGCATGAGTCAAGATAGCAGCACCTAATTGTATTTGTTCTTCATTACCATGTATTCACTGTTTTTTAAAAAAGTTACACTTAAAAATGTCCTTAATGAAGCAGTAAAAAATATTAACTTTACTGCACTTAAACTGAGTATATATCTTTTTAATATTCTGTATGGCAAAGTAGAAGGATGCTCAAAGCACTTCTGCTGCATACTAAAGTATGACTTGTGGTTATTTAAATTGTAAGCTGAACTAGCAGTTTTTTTTCAGAGAGGACCATTTTTCCTTGATAAAAAAAGATTGACAAGACAAACTACGGTTATTCAGACTTGAGTATTTGGCAGATATTTTCTCAAAAATGAACAAAGTGAGCCTGTCACTTCTAGGAAAACAAGTGACAATGTTTGCTGCCAATAATAAAATTGGAGCTTTCAAGAAACAATTAGAATTTTGGAAAACTTGTACTTGCCATCATGACCTTGCATGCCTCTCAATTCTTAAAGTATTTTCTGATGATATCAGTGGTGATATTAACAAATACATTTTTTTTATATTGTATAATGAAATATGTTAACATTTGGAAGAACTGCAATAGTCAGTGAACCCATATTTTTCAAATGCTGTTTTCCACTGAGTCAATTCTACTCATAGAGACCTAATAGGTCAGAGTAGAAATGCAAACTTAGGGTTTCCTAGGCTTTAATATTTATGGTTTATAATTTCCCTTGTTACCCTCCCAAGAGGGATCGGGTCTCCGGGAGCTAGGTAAGCATGGGCGGGATTGTGCTTAGTCTCCGGGAGCTAGGTAAGCATGGGCGGGATTGTGCTTAGTCTCCGGGAGCGAGGTAAGCACGGGCGGGCTTGTGCTTACTCACTGATCTGCACTGAGCACTTTCCCTTGTTACCCTCCTGAGAGGGACCGG